AGTACGCTGGACAATGCACAGTCGAGCTTCATCCGTGTGTTATAGAAATATTTTATTTCTCAATTATCTACTGAGCTTTATTCTTATCCATTAGACATTGTTCTTCGTCTACCCAATCACATGAGGTCACATGAGATGGTATTGAGAGAATGTTAATTCCATCGCCTCGTCGCAGAGCTTCTTTGGGGTTTTTACGGAACAACATATTACAGTTTAAGTAATTTTATTCAACCTCAGGTGTGAAAAGTTGCATCAAACAAAAAATCACATCACACTCGAGTCAAAAACATTTTTTCATCACTCCGTACCGAAAGTAATACATAAAATAAATAATAAATAAATAAAAGTTTCAATAACAATTAATATCAAAGAAAGTAGATGTTTCCAAAGCTCTAAGTTAGAGTGAGGGAAAAACGATCAGCTGATTTTCTCTTACCCTCAATTAGTTTTCAATTTATTTACTACGCACGCTAGTGTGTTGTTACGGTTCATTTTGATGATTGAAATCAGCAGTTTTCATTGTTGAACAAAATGTATACAGATATTAATACTTTACTTTGAAGTGGCGACCATACGAATGTAGGTATTTTAAGCCAAGTACTCAAAGTTTGTTTTGCTGTGTTTTACCATAGTGCGTGTTTGAAATAGGTCAAAATATGTCTAACATTCCCGATTATTATATTAAAACAGCTTAAAGAGGTAACTAGCCGCCTTCCACTAATCACGGGTAAGATATGAAGAGGAATACAGAAAGTTTACAAACTAGTGCAAATTGCAAAATGTTAAGTAAATTAAATTGGTGTTATTAGTAATATATTAATAAAAAAATCTATAATCATGAAACCATATACGTTGTTAAGTAGATTTTCAAAGAAAAAGTGTGGTCTAAAACTATAATACTACTGATGAATGTTATTCTGTGTTTGTGTATCTTTTTGTCGTGATGAAAAGTATTGTTCACAACTCGTACCAAAAGTTGTTTTCCGACACTTGTTCCATTATCCCCGTCCTTGGCTTCGCCTTGTACATGAAAATAATTCTCGTGAAATTTGGTTTTCCTGTGTTTGGCTTTGCCTCGCACATGAAACTTGAGCGCGCGCCGGAAAATTCCACTTTCGGTCCTAGTAATGAAACATACTACTGTATTAGTTGCTGCAAACCATAACATAATATACCCCTTTCAATTGGTCAGTCAACATTTTCATTTTAGATTATAATTCAAGCTAAGACTTAGATAAACAATCGTAGCAACAGTTATAGTACTAAAACGAAATTTTACTAACTTAAGTGCTCGATACAACACTGGTAGCACATCATTATGTTGAAAAGTAAAATTCTAGTTTCATGGACACTGCCTAATCAATTGTCTGATGCAGGAATCAGCGGCGGAGGTGGCCGAGGTTGAGTGTGAATGATAACGCTGTGGCTGTGTAGAATGATCGATATTGTACGAGGCTCGATCACCGACAGTCGCTATCAGTTGTGATAGCAACCACGAGGACGATAGACAGACGGACGGTTAGACGCTATTTAGTTGCTTAGCAACGCGTACACGCCCCTCTCCCTATATCCATCGCCTCTACAGGTCTTCAGCTCGTCTTTCTAAAGACTGCAGATGCTAAGTTGAAAGTTAAAAAACTCCTGATTGATGCTTGAAGTTTAAATTTCAGCTCACGACTAGTTTATTGTGCTTTGCAACGTACAATGGGCCTAAACTGAAGAATGTAAATTTAAACCACAGTGGTTAAACATCTGAAAATGATTTGGGAATTTTATATAATAAAAGGAATTTTAAAAGAATGAAATTACTATGTTTTTTTACAAAATGTTAAATCTAGCTCGTAAAAACAAATATGTTACAATGAAAATGATGATCATTTTACGTGACCGATGTATCGTTATTAGTTTCTATTGAACCCAGTAAGTTAAATACATCTGGTAAGGTGGATCTGGTAATTTGTATACCAGGTCAATAATAAACCCCTTGAAATTTTAAGATCGAGAATACAGTAAGACGAAACCCTTCCCAAACATAAAATATCCAGTATAACAATTTCAACATTTTGACGCGATCTGATTTACGAGATTGTCAATGCTTAAAAACATATCGTGATATATTTGGCATTTGGTTTATACATCAATATGTAATAAGCTTCTTACCTCTGAAAGAATGTAAATTTATTTATTCTGACATACACTGCTGTTTACAATAGGTTATTTCTTCTACAAAACTCTGAAATTTTGAATATACATGCGATGATACAGTATCTACTGTGCATAACTAGCCATTAAAAATTGCATATAATACAGGGGTTTTTATTAACGCAACTAAAATTGCAGGTACAAAGAGCCAATGAATCAAATTCATATAACATTAAATTAAATTACGAAGAAAGTAATTATTATTCAAATGATTCATAGAGTTGTAAAAAGAGGTTTGATACATTATTATGCAGTAGTATTCAAATGTAAGTGTTTTAATTAGCAAAGTAGCATCTACAAACGCATGGACAAATATACATACTTATGACACATCATTATTTTAAAAACCAGTTAACTTGTTTGCATTTTAAGACTTAACTTAAGCTTTTAAGGTAACGCTAAATCTTGATTAGACCTATTCTAACAATACTTCATTGTAAAAAATTAAACTCAGACAGAACCTTTTTAAGCTATTTTATACTTGAACGACAACTGGTTTAGCAATACTTATGTCATGTTCATTATGTATCTGCAACAACTATTTAAATAATAAGTTAGTTATAGTAATTAAACTAAATATAACAATTTTTAAACAACTCAACTTAATAGAAGACCTACATTAATAATAACCATTTGCCAAACGGTTTAATTGATGAGTTGTTAGTATCAACTCTCAAACTTTATTTATGCTAGATTTTTAAAGTTTCAATTTTGACTTAACTGTAGTGTTTTTCATTTCAGTCTTGTTCAATGCTTGGATATTTTTATAAAGATAGGTAAATTTTTAAACTGTTTCTTGCGGTATATGTTGTATACAATCGTATTTACAAATATTATTACAAGCTCTACAAATCTATGTCGTTTTGACCTACTTTAAACTTTGCACAGTGTCTCTCTAGAAATAAATATGATTGATGTGTAACAAAATCTTCCAAGGTGGCCAGTTATGCAATTATGTAAACAAAACATAGAACTAGCGTAGGACAGAGTGATTAAACGAACAGTGTTTTAAAATCTTTACCACCATTTCGCTTATTTCCTTTAATTAACCTTTTACCACCCTACCAAAAACTTATCGTCTAAAATTAATCTATAAATAAATAGATAAAATAAATAAATGTATTTTACAACTGTTATTTACACAGTAAAAGAGTAGGGTAATAGCTATTTACGTTACAAGTGTAGTACGAGCGTTTTTACATCACGCTCTTGCGTAACGTGTAACGTAAAAGATTTTACTTGACCCGACAATATATATTTTCATTTCAATCATCTTCTAACAGTAACGTTATTTTCAAACAAAAGCCAAGTTAGGAAAATATTTTAAATCATAACAATAACATTTAAGCGCACAGCTGATTTCTAGCGTTGGCTCAATAGAGGAATATTTTTTTTAGTTGAGCAATCAATGTTATTTAAATGGGTTTCATTATCTCACCGAGTGAGTTTTTTCTAGTTTACATCACTCGTGAAGTAAAGAAGTTGTATACATCACGCTTGGGATAGGGAAGTTTAACATGGCGGGTTGGGTAAAAATGTAAGCAAGTTTAAAGAATACGTATTGACTTCGTTCAGTGCAAGTAGACTTCTAATATTATTGTTAATCTTGTTAAATGAATTCCTGTTGTGCACGATGTTAATCTCTTGTTAGGGTAGCTATTAGACATTTGGTTACTCATTAATGTTAATACCCGAAATTTAAATAACAAGAAGCAAATACATATTAAAAAACACACTTAATTAAAACTGATAGAACTATCCCTCAAATCATAGTGGCATCTTTAGTGATAAGTAAAGTGTGATAATAAGGAGATGTTTATTATGTGGATCATGGTAAAGTATTTTGCTTCCTTAGTGTCTCCATAACACATCTACCAAAAATATGTCATTAGATGAAGATGAATAGATAACTACAACGTTCTACTCAGTGAAATTTACGCAATTCTTTGCTAAATATCCTACGGATAGCGTTACTCTACAAATTCAATACACCCTCTAGTTTCTAGAACCGTCGCATATTAGATCCAAACTTACATTATAATTGGTCTCTAGAGTTTAATGTATTTTGCACTACGCTACAACGTACGCAAGTTGGTGGGGATGTACATGTACAATAATAGTCATGATGGGGTGGTTGGCAGAGCTATATCTGGGGCAGTAGGTCACCCCTACGTCTGGCCATTCGCACTGTAAACAACGCCCAAACTAACACAGAAACTAATAAAACATCATAAAGGGGTGGAAAAGTATAAAATTACATCGACGTGTACGAAACCAGTTAAATAATAGAGCGGTTTAGAAAAGAGAGTTGTATTGGAGTAAAAGTAATTGGATCACATATTGTTTGTATATAACTGTTAGTTAGCGTCATGATAAAGTTTAAGTTTCCCAACACAAAAATATGATATAGTTTTATTGTTTAGTTTTATATATTAAAACAAAACAAGAAAATCTATCTGATACCACACTATTTATTCTTAATGTTTGTTTTCGACTGGACTCTAGAATGACCGATGTAAGGGTAAAATTGATAGCCTTTGTCAAATATTTTATAATTATTTACCGATCTGTAAATATTTAAAGAAGTATATATTACATCGACTACTGTTGGAAGATGTCCTTTAACATATCTATATATCTTTCATACAACCCTAGATTAATATTAGATTATTCATGGTAAATACTGTAAGTTGATTATGTTATTTACACGCTAGCAGGAGTAAATGCAGCCTCATCAATAAATTATCCGCGGACAGTAGAGTGAGAGAGAGAGAGAGGGAGTGAGATGGTAAACTCACAATGTTCATTGCGGTCGTGTTGGACGGCTGTTACCGCTGAGGCAGTGCAGAAGTCCGGTGGTCAATTCCAGTGTTCCAGCTCCAGGGATGTTCCTGTTTCCAGTTCCACGGGCCTGTGAGGTATCCATGGCACTTCTGGCACTGACACAGAGATTCACAGCACCCAACAACCCGACATTGTGTGAACACTCGTCTGTGCCTTCGAGATGGTGACACTGCACGCTGCACGCATGCGCGCTTAGTTCACAAAGTCACAGACAGGGGCAGCACTCGACCACTACCCTTACACAGATGTCGGAATTGATTGAGATTACCGAATGGTATTAATAGCCTTGACGTGGTCGTATTTTGGACTTGAAATTAAACATTAAGTTAATTATTATTAACAATTGTAATTTTTAATTAACATATACAGTTACATTTATGAGTTAATTTTTCAACTTACTTAGGTAGGTTTTATAACCATTCTAGGCATTATTACTGCAAGCAAATGTTTATTATATACCTGCTCAAATTAAATAATTTAAAATTGTAATAGTTAAGATGAACAAAAAATAAAATAAAATGCGATTTCAGTGTTTTTAATTTTTTTCAAGTTTTTGTTTTTAATTTCCTTTAACCTTTATGGCCGTTCCTGGTTTTTATTTCGAGTTCGTATCGTTTAAAAATGCCTATTTAGTGCACCCGTTGGAGTGTATCTAACTCATGTGAAATTGTCATATAATTTACGTAATGTTCTAGAATAAGAACAGATTCTAAATAAATACTTGTTAAAAGGATTTAGTCTTAAGTGATCCCCCGAAAAACCAATAATTCCCATGTCAAAATTATAATATCCATAGTTTTTCTTTCTATTTAAATTATTTTATTTTATCTTTAAGATTGAAAAATTGTTCTACTAAATAAGTCAAATCATAACTTATCTATACATAAATATATTTGTGAACACTTTTCGTTGCCAAAAATACAGAAGGGGACCTAATAACATTTATTTAGGTTTTAATAGGGTGTGTTTTATGATATTACTGTACTTGTATACAGAAGTATGACTAATCTGGACCTTTCAACTTTAAAACTTTGAAACGTTTTACAGCAATGAATAGCAACTGTGAAACAACTTGTTTACGCATAAAGACTACCATTTGTTAATTACAAAACTGGCAAACTTCTCATGTGTAAATTACTTCACTTAGCCAATCAAGTTTGACTTATACACACTGTATAAGGAAATCGTACGGAATTGTGGACGGATTTACTCATATTTACTTTTCATTCTTTAATTTCATTTTATGGAAGTATGAAGACAAATTTTAAAATGCGAAGTAAGAAAATATAATGTTTTGTTTATTGAAGTTTTGCTATTGTCTTTGCCTATTAAATATGTGGACTTCTAATTTTATTATGGAATCTAAAGTCTTTTTTTGGTTGCGGGGGTTTGTTGAAAAAAAAAAAAAAAAACGTTAACCAAACGTTTAGTCTGATTCTAATGTAAATCTTTAGGTGTGTGGCTATCCTAGTGGTTAGTGTCTCAGAATCCGGTGCTAGAGGAGCTGGTTCAATCCTAGCATATTCACAAATGTTTGGGGGGTGTAGGCCACTCTCCCATGGCAGCGTTTGTGATTCTTCTTAAAAAAGTCACTAGTGGGAAAAGTTTAAAATAGTGAAGACAAACAACAGTTTACAAATAAACAGTTCTTTGGTGTTAATGATATGAAATCTGGGGAAGTAATAAAAAATTGTTAAGATGAAAAAGCTACTCCACATATTCCTGATGAAGAATAATTTTAAGTGGTATAGCTGTTAATGTTTTCCCGTGTGTGTGTGTTTTTTTTTTTTTAAGAGAGAGAGACGGCTTAGCGTAATAGAACTTAAATATGACTGAATTGACTGAGTGTAGAATTTAGTGTGATGCCTTGTGTAGCTTTCTTACTGACTAAAACCATCCGATCTTTAGCCAGGGCCATTAATTAAAAGCCCAATGACCAAGAAGAACATATGAGTACAGTTTGAAACTATTAAAACATTATTGAAATAACAACGAGATATTTGGCGGCTTATGACCGTGTAATTAATTGTCAGCTGGTCTGTAAAGATGATGGATCTATAAAGTATTGTGATAATTTTATTGGTTGCTTAAGGTATACGAGCTTAAAAAAACTCTTGGGAAAAAACGTGGATGAGAATAATGCTGTTGTTTAGATCTGCTGTATAAAAAGGCGTTCTTTCTAAACAACACACAAATTTCCTCAATGTAAATCAAGCATCACAATATCTTTTTCAAGTAAATAAACAAAAATCAGTTTATTGCATCGACTAGCTGTTTCATTAATCAAATAATTTAAACTTTGAAAGTATGTAAGGCGTACTTTTGAAATCGACCTGTGGTGCAAAGCCCTTATAGGAAATTCGTTCAATAGATTATTATTACTGCCTCGTCTACACAATTAAATTTCATGGTTCCCAACCTAGGGCAAATCGTGACATTTAATACTATTAGCCAAGGCCTAGAGGGACGGATAACACTATCCCAGATACCAGGTTACCCCATCTAGGTTAACCAATATGGTTACCAAGTTATCCAAACACGTATTGCATTTTACTCTAACAAAAGCTTAAATATTGACACCGACCCTTTAAGAGGTAACTGCTTTCGATTTCTCACTCTCTACCTTTAGATGGACATGTAACGAAATATTTTAAATAACCCATAACTCATAACTCATTTATTGAACCAAAATAACAGATACAAAATTTGGATTGGTCATGTCAAATAATAGAACTAAAATTAAAATAAACAATAGACAATGTTGCTTCAATAAAACAATATCAATTACTTCTTACAACAAAAAAAAAACTAACTAACTAAACCCATCAGCGACACAATCTCGAACACTGTAGTAACCCTTGGCCAAGAGTATTTTTTTGATTTGCTTTTTAAAGCTGTTCAAGTCCGACTCCAGCTGAAGGGAGGGAGGGAGGAGATTAAAAAGTTTAATGCCATTGTAATGAAAGTGTCTCTTGAAAAATGTAGTTGAATGAGATGGTAATTTAAGATGAGAATTGTTACGTAGTGAATAGGAATGTGTGAGTGAAGATTGGTATTGGTGTAAGTTTTTTTGATGAGAATCAAAGTTTCCAAAATGTATATTGAGGGAAGTGTTAAAATTTGTGATGAAATAAAGTATTGCCTGCAAGATGTTGTTCTTTTCAAACCAAAGACTGACCTAACTGCCCTCTTCTGGAGTCGGAAAAGGAAAGACGTTTTCCCACACTCACACCCCCACACCGGCACTGCGTATATCAGGTGCGGGAAAATCACTCCATAATATGCTGTAATTAGAACATCACATTTTGCAAACTTAGAAAGTTGGCGGAGAAGAAAGATTCCCGAAGAAATCCTTCTACACACAGTGTCAACATGGGAATGAAAGCGCAGGTTTCTATCGAGCACCAATCCCAAGAACTTAACCTGATCAGTTGCCTCGAGCACAACATCATTCAAAAGGAAATTGTTTTTGTTTTTCCCAGCTGAACTTATAGAGAAATTTACAAATTCAGTTTTTCTGGCATTTAGACTCAATGAGTTGTCCTCGAACCACTGCATCATGGAGCTCGCTTGCAAAAAGGCCTTTATTTCGAGTTCATCGAAATTTTGATCAGAAACCGAGAGCGACGTGTCATCAGCAAACAGGACAAATGTTTCCAGAATTTACAATTGATGGAAGATCATTCACAAAGACAAGGAACAACACCGGACCGAGGACTGACCCCTGAGGCACGCCACGAGCAGACTCGCAATGGGGTGAGCGGTAGGTATTCAGATATCCTAAGTCATCCACCGCCTGAATCATCACAAACTGCTTCCGTCCTGTAATGAATGACACCACTGCAGTGCCAGCCCTCGCACTCCAAGACAAGAAAGCTTATCAAGAAGCAATGCGTGATCCACCATATCAAAGGCTTTGCTCAGATCGAAAAAAAGCCCATTGTATGTTCCCCTGCATCCAAAGAATTTACTAAATTTGAGATAAGGTCAGTCATTGCGTCTGTGGTGGTTTTCTTTTTTGTGAACCCAAATTGCTTCTCTGAAATAATATTATTTTTTGTAAAAAATTCTAATAGTCTTAGTAGTGTTATCTTTTCAAATACCTTAGATATAGATGATGTTATGGCTATAGGTCTGTAGTTGTCGCAGAGGTGGCGATCTCCTTTTTTATGGAGTGGCTTAATAATGGACGTTTTCAGGGCATCTGGGAACTGGCCACATTCAAAGGAGGCATTGATTAAGTTAGCTAGAGGGTTAGATACGAGGTCTGCAACTTCTCTTAACAGGTTTGGTGACAATTCATCTGTTCCAGCCGACCGTTTATTTTTCATTTCTTTTTTTCTACTTCGGTCTTGTTTGTTGGCTTAAGAAAAAGGGAATCAGGACTAGGCTTTATATGATTTGGCTTGCCTTTCTTATCTGATGGCATACTAACTGATGTAACAAAATTATTAAAGACATTAGCAACTTGTTGTGGGTCTTTAATTATTTCCCCCTTTTCATTATGAAGATTGATTTCTTTTGCATTACTACTTTTGTTTGGAAGATTTTCTTTAATAGTATCCCAGATGGCTTTATTTCTATTATCTGATTGGTTTATTCTATCATGAATCATATCTGATTTTTGTTGCCTTATTTTATTTCTGTAAGTGCGTTTAATCTGCAAGTATTTTTGACGAAGGTGGTGGTTAGAGTCTAAGTCCTTGGTTTCTACATAAAGATCAAGCATTTGGTTTTTCATATTTATTGTCTCCTTATCCAGTTTGATTTTACCCTTAGACTGAATTTTATTAATTTTTTGTAATAATTAGGACGTCTTAAAATTAATGAAAGGGTAGAGTACAATGTGTTGACCTTGAAGTATACCATTTTAGCTACTAAAAGACTATACGAAAAGAAATGTATATGAAAAGTATGAGTAAATGAGACAAGTTTATTTAAGAAATGCTAGATTTAGTGATCATTTGCTGCAGTTCATATACTTTGGACAACAGTTTATACAAGTAATTTCATGTCGAAAAAAAGAGTTATCTACAGGTGAATGACAGCCTAAAAATACTTCAAAACCATTCAATAGAATGTTGAAGGAAGACTTTTACAAATATTACAAATATACAATTACAAGGATATTAAAGTCTTTTTTCAACCAAATACGTTG